AATCTACACCAGGGCTGCCAAAGCCTTTCCTCTCCCTTTGTCCCCCACCCCGTTGTTGTCTTCACATCAATGCCCCCTTCACCAGGTGGATGTGAGTGTGAAGTACCTGGCAGAAAAATCACCATGATCCTCCAAACTGGTGTCTCCTGGGCTGTAGCAGCATGGCTTGCAGGGGAGCAGGCTGCAGTCCTACCCTGGCACTGAACTCCTGCACTGGCTTGCACAAACACTTTACCTGTTTGTACCCTGGCTTTGACATTAGTCCCTGCAGGATCTGCAGTGTCCTTCCAAGCCATGGACCTTGTCACACGTTAGGAAAGCTCTGATCAACAGTTATCGTGACACAGAAACACAGACAGGATTCCACTCTGATTCCTCGACTTAAACAGCACTAAACAAACACAAAAATCTTGCAAAAAGAGTTACTGAACAAAGGGAAACTGCCACAGAACAAAATAAAACACTGCAGGAGGTGTCTGAGCACCCAGTGTGCAGGGCCAGACCCCTGGTGTGCAGGGGAGACACTCCGGGGGAGTTCGGGGCCGGGGAAATGGAAGTGTTCTGAGTGTTCTGCTGTTCTCAGGGGAGTGCTGGCTCTGTCAGCTCCCCATTCCCTCTGTCCTACCATGCTGCTCTTTCCTTGCAGACTGGAGCATCCTCCTGGGGGAGTGTTCCCTGCAGACAATCAGCAAGCAGCTCAAGGAGGTTTGCCGCATGTGCGGCATCTCGGCGGCAGATTCCCCGTCCATCCTCAGTGCCTGCCTGGTCGCCATGGAGCCACAGGGCTCCTTCGTGGTCATGCCAGGTATGTTTGTCCAGCTGCTGCCATGCCAGGGAATCTGGGCTTTGATCTCATCACAGAAGCACAGTAATCTTGGGATTGCTGTGAGGGCCTTGACTGGCGTGGCGACGTGGGGCAGAAAATAGGCTGAGCCAGCAGAATTCCCTAAAATACCATGGAGAGATGCTACCCTGGGAGTGCAGGCTCCTGGGGGGAGACTGATGCCTTAAAATCTACATTGTATAAGGTTCTTAGTGACAAGATGACTGTTGAACTGCTGACCTTTTCCCTGGGTCCAGGCAGCCCCATTCCTACGGGCTGGAAGGTGACGCTCCCAACGCCCTCGTGCACGGAGGAGTCTGCAGTGGGAAAGAGAAGGAGCCTCTGGAAAGGGGAATATGAGTAAACCCACTTGCCTCCTCATGTGCTGGAGTTATTTAGAGAGTTCACTCATAGCAGTAGCCCACGGGGTTAAGTTGAAATCAAATTAAATATTGAGATTCCCTTTACTTACTATATTACCTAAGCACATAATTTTTAATGGATGTGATGCCATCCCCTTAACATATCCTTACAAACCACTCTGGGCTTTTTCACACTTAGAAAGAAGAGATTAGTACATGGAACAGAATTAACTGAGCTTGAAAATTCCTTATCAAGTTGAATATTTTGAAAATCTTAAAGCAGAGGGTTTGTAACATGAGAAAATAGAGGGCAAGTGAGGCTTTTTACTTATCACCCAAAGTGGGGTATATTTCATAATTATATAGAGGGTGTGAAAAATCAATTTGACTTCTCATTTAGCAAGTAAATATTTGATCAAGGGGCAGCAGAATGACAGGAAAGGTGGGGCTGAGCACTCTGTGCAACTGGTGATCGGAGTTTTAAGCTCTTACAGCAATTTATTCTTTTGAAGATCAGGCCCTTTAAATGTGTGTATGAGCTTGCAAGCCAGGTGGGATGGACAGGACTGTGACTAACCCAGCCCATGTATTTGGGAGGGGATGCACCTTGAGGTCTGTGCTGTCTGTGCCCTGGCAGATGCTGTCACCATGGGCTCCGTGTTCGGCCGGAGCACGGCGCTGAACCTGCAGTCGTCCCAGCTCAACACCCCCCAGGACGCCTCCTGCACACACATCCTGGTGTTCCCAACCTCTGCCACCATCCAGGTGGCACCAGCAAATTACCCCAACGAGGATGGGTTCAGCCCCACAAACGGTGAGTGGCACTGGGGGGGTGAGAGGGGCCTTTCCAGAACCTCAGCAGAGCTGCACCAAGTGGGAATAAACCCCCACGGAGCCCACAGCACCCAGCTGGATTCAGGGTGAGCCACACAGGGCTTTGTAGGTAGAGGGTAACACACTGTGCTCCCCCTGAGTCTGCTTTCAGATAATCACACTGATTTATTCCCAAAGGGATGTGGCCCAACCATGGCACAGACTAGACAATGCTTTTTCTGGTTGTTGTGGCTGGGTCAGACCAGCTTGTTTCCCAGCAGTGCACAGAGCTGGGAGGAAGGAGGCACTTGTAGAATTTTAGTCTCCCTGTAAAATAGGTAAAGTAGCCCAACCTGAGACTCCCTGATGCCCCCAGAGTGCTTTTACACACACATTGAGCCCTGCAGTTTGTGCCAGCAAGACTCTGCTTAATACTTGATATCGAATGAGCATTTTGCTGCTTTGTCACAAATCCTTTAAATGATTGCAAAGAAATTTAGTCCAAGAGTCCCTGCAAACAGGTACAGTAGGAGTATTCAGTGAGGAGGGCAGGCCCACAGCTTTAAGGAAAGGGTGTGCTCTGATCTGTTCCTGCTGGAATGTCAGAGGGCCCCATGGAGGGAAGTTGCCCCTCTCAATCCCTGTCCCTTGGAGGGATCCCCCCAGTGCTGTGCTGACAAACATTAACCTGGGTTAACCTGCCCTTTAGTGCTGCACATGCTAATTAGAGTCAGGTACAAGAACTGGCCTTTTCCAAAATGGTGTTAAATTTAATTTTCTTAACTCTGTCCTGCTTAATGATTAAGCTGCTTCCTATGCCATTAGGCAGCTCATTTATGCTTTGGAGGTGAAGCAGAGCATGACATGAGCTCTGCTTTGTTTGCTGAGGCTGGAGGACACAAGTTCATAAACCTCAGTTAAGTCACTGCCCTGGCAATCCAGAGGTTCTCCTCAGGAGATGAAGGAAAACAACCACCTGCCTGTTTCAGTACTGGGACTTCAGGTGAAATTAGTTCTGGACACACATCCTTTTCCATTTTATGTGGAGTAAATTCCTCTTTATCAAGAGAAATTGTTATTTATTATGATATGCATGACTTCTGTTTAAGGCTTCATATTTTAATATAAATTTGGTTGCAATTCTAATTAATCCAGTTAATTTAGACAACTCCCACTATCCCTTTCTGCCCCCTATAACGTATTTGAAATGTCATTATACACTTTAAATATCCCTGCCTGCTGAGAAATCTGGGTACGAAATCCCCCTCTAGCCCACACTGTGCTGGCTGTAATTCCTTGCTCCATGTTTCTGGTGCCTCATCCTTCCCTCCCATAACTTACTCATGGCATTGTAACCCATGTGCAAGTGCCTGAGTAGTGAATGCACTTCTCAGAGCAGCAAAGAGCCCTTCCCAGGTTAAACCAGCCAGCTGGATAATGCAGCTGGATGGGATTCCTGGGATGGGAGTAGGATGTGAAAAGCTGTGTTGTGGGGAATCCTGGTGCAGCATGTGAAAGAATCCCCAAGTCCACGTGAGGGGGAGCAGCCTTGCTGCTCGGGGGCTCTGGGGCAGTTTCCTGGGAGCTGCCAGGGCTGTTCCCAGAGTTGGGACGAACATTCCCAAGGGCTGAGGAGCAGCACCTGCCCAGGTGACACTCAGGGCTCTGTTTAATGGATCTCAGGGTTTGTTGCTGGGTTTCTGTGAGCAGCTGCAGAGAGGTGCCCCTGTTCCAAAGTTCAGCCTGGATTTGCTGGAGCTGGTGCAGCAGGATTTCTGTTCCCTGCACGGCCACTGCTCAAATTCATTATCTCAACACTCCTCTGCCAACTTTCCCTTTCAAGTCTCTGCGGTTACAGTCAAAGGTTCTGAGGAGGATTAAACAGTGAAGTGTTTATCTCTGCTTTCATCTACCTGGAGAGTATGTAAGAGAAAAAAGGGAATGATCATAAATTAAAGGGAATGGTAATAAATTACAAAAATGTCTCGGAAAAAAAGAGAGTGCAGCACGTTGGAAATGATTTTCCTTTCTTTTCTTTTTCAGATGACATGTTTGACCTCCCATTCCCAGATGACATGGACAATGACATTAGAATTTTAATAACAGGGAATCTTCACTCTTCACCAAATTCCTCCCCAGTTCCTTCCCCTGGATCACCATCTGGCACTGGAGTGGGATCTCACTACCATCACAGCAGGGTAAGGCTGGAGCACCGTGGGGCACCTGCTGCTTAAAATGAAACACGAAGAAAGACCCAAATCCTCCAACAAAATCACTCCTTCCTGTAGGTTCTCACACATAATTAGGTCAAGAGCCAGCAAAAATCAGGTTAACACTGAAGGTGCTGGTTCAGTCCTGCTGGAGAAGGGGCTCTGCAGTGACTGTTTGCATCTCCCACGTTAATTGTTGGTGTAGAAGGTAACTGAGAGGAAGAGAGGAGGAGGAGAGAGAGGCTTTATTTCTGTGTGGCAGAGCCATAGCTGATGACCTGCATAAATCCAATCTGTTCTCCTCCATTCCTTTCTGGACAGTCACTCAGAATGTCCCTGGCACAAAGTGACAAGTCTCTGAGAGAAAGGAAGCAATGACAGCCCTGTTCCCAGGGATTTCTGGGAGGCAAGAAGGGAGATAATTCTCCCAGTGATGAAACCCTACCCATGGAAACCCCACAGGTGCTGGATGGTTATGCAAATGTTGTTTTCTTAGGAATATTTAGCCCAGAGCACATAGTGTTTGTAAGTAATTTTTGTTTGAAGTGGCTTTTATAAAGTCAGTTCCAACATCAGTGATCACTTAAAATGCAAATTATTTGTGGTAATTCAAGGTATTTTTTTGAATTGGCTTTTGCATAACTTAGATCAGGTTTAATGGAACTCTCACTCCTGCATTTAATTGTGTAAGACTGAGCTGTTCTCTTAAAATGGTTTCCATCACAATTAGGTAGAAGTTTGATGCTTCATAATTTCCTTTGGAGAAGTTTTATTCCAAAAGTAGCGCATTAAAAGCAGTAGCATATTACTTCTTTATTAAATAATACAGTATTTTATTACAGAAACAGCCCAACTTTTATACCAGAAACAGAGAACCCCCTGCATTTAAAAGTTCTGGGTTAGTGATCTGAGTAATTTCCTTGGATGTGGATCTGGACTATCAGTGGTGGCTTTAAAGTCTCAGGGGAGACTGTAAATGTGGTAGGAGAGGAAGTGCAGAGCAGGTACTGAGAGGAGGTGTAGGTACAACCCAGACACTCCCCCTGACTGGTGCTGCTCATCCAGCCTGTGCCAGAGCCCAGCATTCCCACCTGTGGATGGGGTGTCCTGAGACAGGAATTCCCACTCCCTGAACACGACTGGCTAAATGGTGGCAGTGTCACCCCCTGGAAGGACAGTGTCCTGGCTGTATTCTCCTGACAGCCTCTGCCAAAATGCCTCAGTGGCAGCTGAGCCCAGAGTGTGAGGGAGAAGGGGCTCCTGCCTCAGCCTCAGAAGTGCTGACCCTGTTTTGTGAGCTCAGACCACAGCACTTTGTGCTGATGGTGCAGCTCCCCCTCCAGAGGGAAGGGCCGGGGCTGGCCCTGGTTACTGCAGGCTGGGATGGGGGCAGATGAAAGGTTCTGAGTTCTGTGACCAAACCCTGCAGCCAGAAATCCCAGCCCCTCACTCAGGGCACTTCCTTCTCCTCAGTTCACTCTGCAGTGTCTGTTCTGTAGCACTTCCACAAACACCTTTACAGGACTCACTCCCCACGGAGCTGCTCAGGAGCAGCCCTGGGAGTTAATGGCCAGGAGAGACCTGGACAGAGTAATTCAAATTAACCATTAACACAGGCCTGGTAATTGCAGTGTAATTCTGTTTTTAACCAAGCCCAGCGTGTGATCAGCCCCTCGTGGGGCGGGAGGTCAGGCCTGTCCCTGTGTCCCATAATTGATGGCTGTGCCCAGGCCAGGCTGAGCCTGCTCCAGGCTCCATGGAATGCTTGCCTTCCTGGGATTCCTGACCAGGACCTGCAGTGAAGGGTTTGAGATTAAGCTGCTTTCTGTGCAGGGGAATATTTTAGGGGTTTTTTTAACCTATTGACATAAAAGGTATTTATGGATTAAGTGAGCTGCACTCCCAGTTCTGCAGGGATAAATTACAAGCTAAAACACTTTGCAGGCATCTTTCGGGTTTTTCCTCTATGAAATAAAAGTAAAATAAGAAAGGGTGTTTCCAAAATATGTGTTCCAAACACATTTAAAATAGTAATATGCTGTGGAATGGGCTGGCAGGCACCTTCTGATGGCTCAGGAGATCCCTGTGGATCATGACAGCTCAGGATATGTGTACACACACACACAGGACAGCTTCCACCAAGCACTGCTGTCCCACAGCCTTGGGAATGGAAGGCTCATCTGGTATGGAAAGGTTCATCTGGGCTTTACTGCACAGAAGTAAAAGCACAAACACACTTGCTGACAGGGAGCGACTCAGAGTCTGAAGAAATTAGTTTTACAGCCCATTTCTTGTTGTTTAACTCTCTCCTCTCCAAGTAACTCTTTGGTCCATATAAAACAACATGAGTAACTAACACTGCAAAGATGGAGTCTATATATAAATGAATAAGTGACATAAGTGCAAAAGCAGGACATATTTTCCTCTCTCTTCCCCTACCTGGCAATACAAATGTAATCCAAGCACAGTAACTGCTGTGCAAGGGGCCAGAGCCAGGAGCAGAAGTGCAGCAGTTTTTTCCAAAGCCATCACTGCAACTCCCTGGAAAAGCAACACAACCAACCTTACCCAGCTGCAGATCCTCTGTTCTCCCACGCTGGAGTGTGGCACATCCTTCCAGGGCTGGAGGCAGGAAGATGTGCAGTGCAAACTGCTGGTGGGATGTGCAGAGGAAAAGCCTGTGAGGGTTTCTAGAGCCCAGTCCCACACTGGTCTGCTCTCCACGGGCACTCAGGGAGCTGTTCAGAGTCACAGCCAGAGCCTGGTACCTCTGAGTGACTCTGTAGCATCAAATTCCACGTTCTCCATCCAGTTCAGGAGGTTGGTGTTGCTGTTTGGGAATCTGCAGTGCTGCTGGAGCATCAGCCTGGAGAACCAACTGCAGGGGGGAAAAGGGGTTAGACAACTTAGAGCAAGATTCATGAATGACTAAAGGGTGGCTCATTAATCATAAGACAGTAATTAGCAAACAAAACCACTGTTACTGGAGTGGGATGTAATGACCTAAACCAACAGAGCTGCCTTTCCAACTCCTCTTTCAGAGCCAGGGGGAACGTCTCCTGTCCAGGGAAGCCCCCGAAGAGCTGAAGCAGCAGCCTCTGGCCCTGGGATACTTCGTGTCGACTGCCAAAGCTGAGAACCTTCCACAGTGGTTCTGGTCCTCCTGCCCTCAGGCACAGAACCAGTGTCCCCTCTTCCTGAAGGTCTGTCCTGCTCCACAGAGCACTTAGTGTCCATTGCTATTTCCCTGCTGGTACAGCTTGCACATTGGAGACTGGGGTGTCAGGGTGAGCCTGAGACCTCCCCCCAGAACTTGTGAGGTGCCCACAGCAGACCTGGTTCAGCTGCTGGAGATCCACTGAGCCCTGGGCAGTCTCCTGCAGCTTCTTGTGTGAATGAATCATAAAATGTGAGCTGGTGAAAAGCAGGGGGAAAATGTGTCCTGAATGGCATCACATTCAAACAACATATAGACTGATAAAGTTAATACCTCTTTTTGATCCACTCCCAGCTTAATTAAGAAATCCTAAACATCTTTTGAAGTCTCTTAACTAAATTTTTTCCTCAGGCAAACAAAGCCATTCCAGGGCTGATGTGAGCAATGACCCACAGTCACCATGGCAGGCTGGGGCTCAGGCAGCACCTCATGGGCAGAGCACTGAGCCTTGGGCCTTCCACAGAGCCTTGGTCCTTATATAGAGCCTTGGGCCTTATATAGAGCCTTGGGCCTTCCCCTGAGCCTTGGGCCTGATACTGAACCTTGGGCCTTACACAGAGCCTTGGTCCTCACACTCTGCCCTTTATGGACACACGTCCCTCAAGAGTGTGCATTTCTTTAAACCCACACAAGGGAGATGTCAAAATAATATGAAAAATAAACCACCCTGGTTTTGGAGCTAGAGATGAAGTTTTATGTTTTTATGCCCTGCTGCTGGGAGAGCCGGGAGACTCAGCGTGGTTTGTTACTGAAACTCCAAAAGAACCACTGGCACAGCCCAAGGGTTCCCCTCATCTCTTCCTCCCTGACTAACATGCAGAACAGAATTCAGTGTTCTTTTTTTAAAGATCCTTGATTTCAGTCAAAAAGAGAAGTTTATTAAAAAAGTAACCATTAACTTGGAAATACACGTGGCTGTGGTGTGTCCAACCCAGAACTGCCAACTTGCTGCTGTCCTGAGGTGATCCAGAATGGATCTGTTCCCTGGGAATCTTGAGCAGAACCTGCCATATGAGGATTAACTTTTGCTTTCTCCCTCTGCACAGGCCTCACTGCATCACCACATCTCTGTAGCGCAGACAGACGAGCTCCTACCTGCCAGAAATTCTCAGCGAGTTCCTCACCCCCTTGACTCTAAAACTACATCAGATGTCTTGAGGTAACACCTTTTAGGTTCTGCATTTCCTCCCTAAAGGTTTGGGCACTGAGTTCAGGGGTTTCAGAGGGATCTTTCCAACCTGGCAAAGTTATTTGTGGGTTCTATCAGCAGTTTATAACTGTGCTGTGCCCTACGTGTGTCTGTGGGCAGTGGGGCATCTGCTCCAGCTGCTGCCTCCTTCCCCCCCAGGGCAGGGCTTTGAGGGGGAATTCAATGGGTTTCCTGCCCCTGTGCACAACAATCCAAAGGAAACTCAGAGGCAGCTCAGCCTCACCAAGGAGACCTTGGTTTGCCTCCCACAGATTGTCCTGTTCACTCAGGGTCCAATCTGGGCTGTGCCAGTGATTATTTTTACTCACCCAACCAAATGGATTTATAGGAGATAAAAGTACCCTCCTGGTACCACTATTGTAGGAATTGAGATGTAAAGGAGACATTGCTCCTGAATTAATACAGAGAGGATGCTGGGTTGTTCAGGATAACCAGAGGCCTGTTTGCCTCCAGGTCTGTGTTGTGAGAGCACACAGTGCAGGACACACCAGGGAGCAAACAGAGTATCAGCAGGGAGCAGGAAGAGTAATCTAATTTGGGAAACTGGTGGTGTATTATTCCAGAAGATCTGAATTTGCACCCTCTTAGAGGACTGAGCTCTCACAGCTGTCTTGGGGTATTGAGGATGCAGTGAGTGCATAGGGAGGGGATGAGATGCAGTGTAAGTTACAAGAGGAGAAAGTCTAATCAGACACAGGATCCCAGGAACAGGGTGATCAAAAACTGGCACAGGTTGCCCAGAGAGGCTGTGGAACACCTTAGAGGTGCTCAAGCCTCAGGGCTTTGAAGACAGTGGCATTGGAACCTCTTTGAGTCCACCCTCTCTAGCTGGGGAGGCCCTGCATTCCAGTTTGGTTCCGGTTCAGACATTGCAAAACGGAAAACTCTGCTTCCCCTGCTTCCCAGTGAGGTTCCTACTTTGCCAGCCCCCCCGGCAGTGCTGTCAGAGGTCCCTGTGGGTCAGTGTGGCCGGGCTGAGCAGTGCTGTGTGCCCCCAGGTTCGTGCTGGAGCAGTACAACGCGCTGTCCTGGCTCACGTGTAACCCGGCCACCCAGGACCGCAGCTCCTGCCTGCCCGTGCACTTCGTGGTGCTCACCCAGCTCTACAACGCCATCATGAACATCCTCTGAGAGACACAAAGCACTTCTTCTTCCTCTGGCTTCGGCCCCCCTCGGCCTGACAAACGTGCCACAGCCTGCAAACCCCACGGTTCCGCTTCTCTTCAGCCCGGTCCCGTGCTGTGCTTCTGTCCCCCCACAGCCCCCGTGGATCCCGCAGTGCTCGGAACTGAACCCCCATCGGCACCTCCGGCAGCTTCGGTCCAAAATCTGGGAACATCCAAGAACAGTGAACACAGAGTAACCTCAAGCCAGTGTTAGTTTGGTGGCCCAGTAACTACTGGTCGGTGTGTGATTATTTTTTTTACTATTTTATTTTTTTAAGGAAGACTACAGGATCTTTTTTTTTGCATTAGGAACTGAGACACAACCGAGAGCAGGCTCGGCCCTGCCAGCAAAACCACCTCGTAGTGACCAGTTGGGGTGTTTTGTTGTTTGATCTTCGTAAACTGGGACTTTGCAGGAGGAAAAAAAAAAACCACGACCACAAAACCACACAGTTGTAGTCTCGTATAAATATTGGAGTTTTCTGTCTACCTGGAGTTCCTGTCAGAGTGGATCGGGATGAATGCATGCATTTGTTACCTGTCCATGTAGATATGAATGGTCTGGAGATACTTTATTTATTTTTAGGTTCGGGGAGGGATTAAATTATAAAGGACCAGGAACAGTAGAATATCTTCAAAATCCAGCTCCGTTCCACTGTGGGGTTATTTATCTACAGACCTCTCACTCTTCTGCCCTAGAAATCAAAAGTGAAGCTCTTCACAAGCCGTGTCCAAGCTGGGAAGGGAAGGATATATTGCATTTTCAGGAATTCTCACCTGGGTTTAGCCTGGTTAAAGCAAGGAATGGCCAGTGTTCAATGAAGGAAAACACTACCTAAGGGAGAAGAGTGAGAGAGAGGTAGGGAGGAAAAATACTTTAAAGCCCAGCGTGAGGGCGAGTGGAAAGTGGTAAATTAATCTGTCGTAGAGCTCTGATTGAGATACATTTCCAGTAAATTTAGTGATGCCAGAAAGCTATTTACTGCAAGCCAGGTCGCCCTGGAATTCTGGGCACACTCGTCCATGTACATATCCAAAAATACGATTTTTTGTTTTTTTTTGTTTACACTAAATCAGTTGCAAACCTGGTGTATTTTTTTCTGACTATAGGAATATTATTTCAAAGAAATAATGTTTAAAAAAACCAACCAACCAAACAAAAAGTTGTATGGTTAAATTAGTACTTGAAAAAGCGACACCAACCGTGGTGGCAAAGCAGCTCCGCTCAGTGGGACGCTGGGAAGGGATTTTATGGCTCCTTCATTCCAGGCTCCGAGGGGTTGGGCAGTTCCAGCCCCGTTTTCCTCGTGTTTGGGGGTGCACTGGGCAGGGGTTGGGTCACTTTGGTCAGGCTGAGTGACCTTCTGACCTGTCCAGGGAGAAAAAAAAAAAACAAAAAACCACCGAGTTTGAAAAAAAGTTCTTCCAAAAAAAAAAAAAAAAAGACTTTTCGTGTGTTCTGGTTAAAAATAATAATAATAATTAAAAAAAAGAAAAAAAAATTAAAAAAAATGAAATTCTATGGTTTTAAAAAGTATTTTTCTTGAGATGATGTAACATTTAAAACAAATTCTATAAAATAATTAAAAAAAAAAAAGAAAAAAAAGAATTGCTTGTGTAATGAGAAGGTGGAGGCAGAGGAGGAGCCTGTAAATGGATTATTTCCTTCTCTGCACACACCTCCACGTGGGTATCGTATCCTCTTTGCAATGTATAGGTTAAAAAAAAAAAATCTGATATCAAACCATTTGTATCTAATGTGTACAGTGTAAAATTGACTTTAAAAATATTGCAGTACTATTTTTTCTTAATCAGAAAAGAAAATTCTCAAGGCCTTTTGAAGAGCATAAAAAGATGAAGATTGTAAACTTGTATAAAAAAAAAAAATTTAACTTGGGGAGGAAAAAAATGTAAAGTAGACATTTGTAATCTTTTACCATTTGGGGGTTATTTGTTCCCAGGATTCATCTGAACTTTGGATTATTATTTTGTTTATTGTTTTTAAATGGGCCGTTTTTATCCAGGGGCGTTTCTTCCCCACAAACCTGGTTCTAAGCAAAAATTAGAAATAAAAAAAAAAAAAAAAGGGCAGCAAGGAGTAGTTTTCATCTGGTGTCTTTTATTTAATTTTTTTAAGTTAAGAGAAGCTGGTGACATATTTATACGTTTTTGTGCAAAATAAATGAATGGCAATAGATTTTAAAGAAAAAAAAATCTTATGTACTTCAGTGTGAAAAGTTCTGTATAATATTTCCCTTAAATATGCATTATTTTACTTGTGAGTTTTTTACTGAATTAATCTGAAATGTACAAGCCCTGGCTTTCCTACAGAGTGAAGAAACTTATTTTATTTTTTCTTTTTTTTTTCTTTTTTTTTTTTTTTTTTTTTTTAAATTTTTATTTCTAACTTTGGAAAATCATGCCTAACTCAGAATTCTTCTGGCAGTGGTTTGGGCTGACGGGAGGGGAGGGTGGGGATGTCCAGCATGCTTGTATGTATATTTCAGAACCTTTTTTAAATGTAAAAGCTGTACATTTCTGGGGAGTTCTGAAGTTCTTTTTTTTTTTTTTTATTTCTTTTTTTGGTTTTGGTTTTGGTTTTTTTTTTTTTGGGTTGTTTTTTTTTTTTTTCGCTGAGCATTTTGCAGTGAGCTTCTTTTATATATAGCCGACAATTTGAAAGAAAACAAAAAAAAAAAATGTGAAGTTCATTTTAAATCTACAGTATATCGCTGGTACAATACACTAAGAAAAAAGACTTTGATAAAAAGAAACAATAATAATAAAAGACCTCCATTTTAAATGTCATTCATATATACCTTGTGGATGAGAGCTATATACTTTTACACACTTTTTTAGATGAATAAATTATTGAATTACTGAAACTGTTGGTGGAGTTTTCTTCTTGGGGGGTACCGAGCTCGGAGGTTCCAGCATTCCCTGGCGAGGTGCAGCTCCATGGGACAGGAATGGAGCTGGGATTAAATGTTTCAGTTAAATGTTTGAAACTGTGCTGAGGGGAAATTCGATGTCAGTGCTGAGATGAGCAGTAAAATCCAGCCCGAGGGGGTGGGTGGGAGCAGCCTGGGATAATCCAGCCTTTCCATGAGCAGTTCCAAACACAGGAACTTCCCCAGCTCTGGAGGAACTTCTGTGTGCTGCAGGTGAGTCTCTGACAGGAGGTGGCAGTGGCACATCGGGCCTGGCCGTGCCCCCTCCCTGCCCAGGGACAGGGACATTCCCAGCATCAGACCCGCCCGCTGTTCCCAGAAAAGCTGTGGAATCCCCATCCTGGAGGAGCTGAAGACTCAGTGGAGCCATCATTGAGCAGCAGTTCTTGGGGTGTCTGTGCAGGGCCAGGGGTTGGGCTCGATGATCCTTGTGGGTCCCTTCCAGCTCTGGATGCTCTGGGATAATTGTGCCTGCTGTGGGCAGGGCCTGGTTGGACTGCTGGACCCAGGAGGTCCCTTCAGACCAGGACACTTTGGGTTTACAGGGTCATTTCTGAACACAGACAGGCAAAAATAACACTCAGTGAACAACCAGAGCCCCCAGGGCTGCTCCTAAACGGGACCAGAGACCTGTTCCATGTTCAGCTCCCATAGGAATAGTTTTGGGAAAAACTTAGGGCTGAATCTTCAGATAAGGTCTCATTTTCTGTACTTCAAGAAATTACAAACCTGTGACCTTCCTAAGCACATTTTAAATACTCTGAAATTTTTCCCTTTCCATCCTTAATTGTGGTGCCACCCCCCAGCTGTGGCTGTCCCAGGATGCAGGAGGGATCCAGCTGTGGCCATCCTGGGTTGTGGGGGGATCCAGCTGTGACCATCCCGGGATGCAGGAGGGATCCAGCTGTGACCATCCTGGGATGTGGGGGGATCAAGCTGTGACCATCCCGGGATGCAGGAGGGATCCAGCTGTGACCATCCTGGGATGTGGGGGGATCAAGCTGTGGCCATCCTGGGATGCAGGAGGGATCCAGCTGTGGCCATCCTGGGATGTGGGGGGATCCAGCTGTGGCCATCCTGGGATGCAGGAGGGATCCAGCTGTGGCCATGCTGGGATGCAGGAGGGATCCAGCTGTGACCATCCTGGGATGCAGGAGGGATCCAGCTGTGGCCATCCTGGGATGCAGGAAGGATCCTGCTGTGACCATCCCGGGATGCAGGAGGGATCCAACTGTGGCCATCCTGGGATGTGGGAGGGATCCAGCTGTGGCCATGCTGGGATGTGGGGGGATCCAGCTGTGGCCATCCTGGGATGTGGGAGGGATCCAGCTGTGGCCATGCTGGGATGTGGGGGGATCCAGCTGTGACCATCCTGGGATGCAGGAGGGATCCAGCTGTGACCATCCTGGGATGTGAGGGAGATCCAGCTGTGGCCATCCTGGGATGCAGGAGGGAGCCTTCTGTTACACCAGTGCTGGCTGAGGGAGTTTCTGCAGACCCAAATTCCTTTCCAGCTGATCTTCACAGCTCCCTCCCTTGCAGAGTATCCTAAAGGAACTCCTTTTCCATGAGGAGCTGGAGCCCACAGGTGCACCCAGTGATGGGGTGCAGGAATTGCCACTCTGTTCCGTGGGTTTGGGGTTTCCTCTGTAGTTGTTAATTCCAGTCCACTTGAATTTTGGTGCATCTTATTTCTGAATTCAGATAGTTACACAATACTCCCTAAGATTTTTCCTTTTTTTTTTTTTTTTTTTCCTTAACTTTTAAGTTTGTATCTTTTAGTCCACTTTCCTTTTGGTAAATTGTGGTACTAAATGACACTGTACCATTCCCTTGTGTAAGTTCCCACAGAACAGCTGCACTTTGGTCTTCCCCTGTGAGTGCTGTGAGTACCTGGAATCCCTGCACTTGTTAAGTGGAGATTACTTTGTGGCTAATTTATTGGCTTTAAAGACAAAACTACAGACTAAATGTTCCATGAGGACTGTAAGGAAGAACTGAAAACACTGAAATCTCAGTTGATTCATAAGAATAATGGAATATTTATGACACTGGGTGCAGTACTGTGGTGATGGGCCCTTCAATACCAATAAAGAAAATGTTTTTAAAGATCAGGCTGACATTAAACTGCTTTTCCTCTCTCAGCTGCCACTTCTATTTTTGACAAAATGTTGTGGCCACCTGAAAACCGTTTCAGCACATGTAGAAAGCAGCAGAAATCATGAAGTAAACATGAGGTTTATGGCCAGTCTCTCACCATTTGCAGTGGAACTGGAAACAGCCCTGAGATCCCCAAACAGGAAGTCTTTGGTCTCTAACAACAAAGCAGGATTTATAAAATTGTGCAGCTTCCACTTCCCTATTTTGACACTGACCCTTAACCCTCAGCCCCAGGTTTCTGTGGCAGCCCCTGGTTTGTGCTCTGCTGGCTGTTCCCTGACCAGGTATCGAAGCAGGAGTCCCAGGGGGCTTCCCAGGGGACATGGAAACCTCAGGGCTGTTCTGCTGAAACCTGAAATACCCTTCAAAGGCCTGGGAGAAGGTGCCACCAGTCTGGGTGTGAGGCCAGCTCTGAATGCCCTGAGCTGTCCGTGGGTGAGACCCGACCTGAGCCCTGCTCCAGGCTGAGACCATTCCACGTGTGGCAGCTCTGCCTCTGCTTCCAGACAGTGTAACCAGGGATGAGCATACCCAAGAGAGCTCACAGAAGCTAAAACCATAGAATATATGCTGGTTTATCTGATAAACATGAGCTTTTCTTGCTTAGTGAAACCTTTCAGAATTAGGATTTTAAAAAGCTTCCCCCAGGGCCCCTTTGCAGCAGGGACACGGGAACTGCTGGGAACTCTTCCTACAAGAATGTCTTTCATGGTCCTGCAACACCTGCCAGAATTCCCTGGCTCCCCCTGTTTGCTCCACAGAGCCTGGGCCCCAAAGCCAGGCTCTCCTTTCAGTTCTGAACCCACCCTCTGGTACCCAGCCACCTCCTCTGCCTTCCCATCCCAGGAACTGAGGGTCTTTCCTGCCTCACACACCCCTTTTGCTGTGGGACAGACATTCCACTCCAGACAGACCTGCTCCTGCAGGATCTTTGCCATCTACAGAGCACCATCAGCTCCTTCCCAGGCAGGGATGCTCATCCAGCTGGGTCCTTTTAGGGGACACAGAGAGGCCAGCAGAGAGCTGACACAGCCCACGTGGCAGCCAGGGCAGGCCTGGGGCCTTCACAAACCGAATTTATTTTCCTTACACAGTAAATTGGACGTATGTTTAAAAAAACTCCTACCAGCCTGACGCTCTCTTTGTTTTTATTTAAATATTTTGCCATTGGGAAAATGTCAGGCTGGGCTAAACCTAGGAACAAACTACATCCTCAAATGCATTGCTGCTACTGGGAGTGTTTTGAGAACTTCCTGCC